CGATCCTAAAATTAAATTATAAATATATTTTGAATATTAATAATTTTTAAACTTATTATAAAGTTCATATATATATCAAGTTAATAATCTCATGATTAACTTTGATTTGACATTTGTACATACAACATAAATAAATTATTACATTTCTTATAATAAAATTAAATAATCTAATTAATATTATTTCTAAAAAACAAAATTATTTTATTTAAAATTATATTTTTAAATTAAATAACATTATTTAAACTAATATTATATAAATCAACTAATATTATTTAAAATTAAATAATATTATTTAAAATAAATAATATTTTTAAATTAATATTTTTTATATTTAAATAAAATTATTTAGATTAAATAATATTTTTTAATTAAATAATTTTATATTTTTTTGGATAAAATGGTCATTTCGTTAGTGGGATAAAAATATCCCACCTATTTGATGGGATTGAATTATCCAGCAACATATGCATCTCCGCGTGGGATCCACATGCCACATACGCGCCACATAGGACAAATTCTTGTTCCAATCATGACTAGTAAAGATAAGACAACGATGGTTAAACACTTTTAACCCATCCTATCCATTAAAGTAAACGAGGCTAAGAGAATAGAGTAACTCAATATGCCCATGAGAGAATGTAATCAACAAACTTATGAACTCTAAGAGAATAGAGTGATTCAATATACTCATGAGAGGACAATCGCCCTTATATATAATTCTCGAACACGTTGACCCTAAGTGGCAGACTCTTGTTCTCAGTAATCTTATTTGGTGTAAATTGGTGCTGCGTATTGAAACATGTTCATGTTTGATTTCGACTATTAGGCTTGAGAATTATCATAAATTATTTTAACTTTCCTTTTTTCTTAAGTTTTCATATAATACTTTTACATTTTTTATTTAATTCATATATTAGTTGTTATAAATATGTATTCTTTTTATTTTTAAATATTATAACTTTTTTATTTGTATTTTATTTAGTATATATGATTTACCAAAATAATCATATTTTAACGATCTTCGATTTGACATCTATATTGCATATATAAAATACGGGTTTATTGCACCAAATCCCCCTGTATTATATGAAATCTGTACGTTTTCTCCTAATATTTCAAAAATTGCGTCAAACCTCATTGTACTTAATATCTGCATGCATACTCGCCATTTGATGTTAACGTCGTTACTTTAGTGCTGACTGTGTTACTTTTTTGTTGAATTTACCATTCCACCTTTACTTTATTAATGAATTTACCATTATGCCCTAATTGTCAACTATGTTAACTTAAAAATAAAGTACCAATGGTGGGGATTGAACCCATGACCTTTGGGTTGTAAAAGAAAACTATACACCAACTAGGCTACTAGTCATTTAGTTATAAATGTGATTTCATATGTATATATATATATATGTATATATATATAATGTCTGACGGAAATAATATAATAAATAAATATATTCTAAATTATAAATAATAATATCATTCTATATTATAAATAATAAAACGATTCATTAAATATATATCAAATTAAAAATAATAAATGAGTGAATAAATTGATTCTACATTATAAATAATATAATAATTTAGTATGTAGATTTTGTAATAATTGAATAAATAGATTCAAAATTATAAATAATATAAAATTAAGTAAATATAATCTAAATTATAAGTAATATATAATTAAGTAAACAGATCATATAAGATAAATAATATAATGATAATTAAAAATTATAACTAATATAATAATTTAGTATATATATTTTATAATAATGGAGTAAATATATTCTATATAATAAAAAATATAATAATTGAATAAATTATATTATAAATTATAAATAATATAATGAGTGAATAGATTGATTTCAAATTATACATAATATAATGATTAAGTAAATAGATTCTATATTATAAATGATATAATAATTAAGTAAATATATTCCAAATTATAAATAATATAAAAACTGAATAAAGAGATTCTAAATTATAAATAAGATTAATAATTTTATAAAATTTTATATTTATTCAGATTTAAATAAATAAATAACCAAAACTTATTTATATTATTTAAAGCTTATAACAAATGATACTAGATATTTTAATTAATAGTTTTTTGAATTATAAATAGAATTTTTAGTTATTATATATTTACCAGAATTTAAATAAATAAACGAATAAATAATAAGTACATAACATTATGTATTAAAAATTCAAAAATAATAATTTTATTGAAAAATAGAATTTATATATTTTTCAAACTTTTAAAAAAATATAAAATAATATAAAAAATAAATAAAATAAATAAATACAAATCATATATATAGATATATATTGAATACAAAATATTTTATTTACAAATTAATACTTTAATAATATATTATATATAAAAGTATCATTTTATTTTATTATTTAAATAAATTTAATTTATTTTGGTTTATTTTTATTTATATATATTATAATACTTCAATTCAAAAACGTATATTTAAATTTTAAATTAAAGTTTATTTCATATTATATTTTGATTTATTTAAATGAAATTATCATTTTATTTTTTATTAAGTAGTAATATATTTATTATTTTCAAATTTCACATTTAATTTTATTTAATTTATTTTTTATTTTATTTTATTTTATTTTAATTATATTTTTTATAACTACTTTAGTTTGTGATTATTTTATTTTTTTATTTTTTGTTTAAATAAAATTATTAGTTTATTTTTATATTATTTATTATTAATTCATTTATTCATTATTTTCAAATTTAACACATAGTTTTATTCAATTTAATTTTTATTTTATTTTTTCTTAATTATATTTTCTTATAGTTACTTATTTTTTTATTATTTTATTTTTTGTTTTGATTAAGTTTTTCTATGTGTTGTTGTTCTAAATAAAAGTGGTGCTAGGTATGTTCCATAAAATGATGGTGGCGCAGTGGTTGGAAGCCTTGGTATGGAGCTTTTGGCCCAGGTTTGAATCCTAGGAGCAGCAAAGCATTTTTTGCCAATAATGACTAGAAAAACAAGGGGCAAAATAGTAAATTTTAATTTTAAAATAAAAAAAATATGAAAAAAAGTGAATAATTATCGCATAAGAGCAATGTGTACTGCACACGCCGTCAAGTTGGACGGAGAGGAGGAATCGTGCAACAGTTAGTTAAAATACCAGGGGAAAACATGCAAATTTCGTATAATACAGAGGGGTTATATATATTTTACCCTATAAAATACAAAGTAATTTCATCTATATTTATAAATAAAATTAATTTTAGTATCAACACAATTTAAAATACATGAAATAAAAATATAAATTATTTTATAAAAATAATAAAAATCTATTTCATTAAAACACTATAAAATAATCATGTTATTTTTCCATAAATTTTGGAAAAATAAAATTAAGTATTACATAAAATTAATTTTGAGAATTATTATAAAATATTATTTCTCAATTTAAATAGATTATATAAAAAACTGAATGTTATTATGTTATTTAAAACAGTAAATATAATAGAATATCATAATTAAATATAATAAAATAATTTTGTATTTCATAAAGTTAGAAAGTAATACATTTCTACGTAAATTCTAAATTATTTATTATATGAATTTATAAATACTTGAAAAATTATTTATAAAGAAGCCACCACAGAAACGGTACAGAAGACCTGTACCTCTGTTTCCCCAAACTAACCGGCGACTGCCACCCCACGAACTAGATTGAAGCAACCCCCACTTGCAGCCCCCGTACGCCCAACACCAGAGCAAATACAGGAGACAGGGAGACCAAAGCAGCTGCTTAAGAAAATCGACGACCCACCGCAGCTGGCCGTCAAAATCCGCCGCCCTCAGCAACCCGACGAACCCCCAATCCGCCATGGCCATCTGTTATCTGAGGAAATCTAGGCAGGAGATTACCGCCGCACCCTCTCGCTGCTCACGAATGACACTGCAACTAGCCCTAGGTACCGAACACCAACCAAGGCAAGAGAACCGCAGCTCAATCACCAACTCCCGACCCGCCCTAGGTGAATCGGACTACCACCTCCCCCCACCACGGGATCCGACAGACGAAGCCCGTGAGCCACGTCTGTCGGCCTGACCCCAATTACCACCTCAGAAATCGAGGGTCTGGAGAGCACCTCAATCATGAGCTACACACCAGCTACCAGCAGGTAGCGTCGACACCCGACCCCACGCCTCCGCGTCAACCAATAACCACCACAATAGCCCAACGACCAAAGTCCCACTAGACAGAGGGGGAAAACCGAACTTACCAGGAGAAGCAGAGTCTGGCCAGGACCGCCCGAGAGAGGGAAGGAGCCGCGGCGGACAGCCCCGCCAGAGAGGTGGCGGACCACACGCACGGGAGGCTAGTGTTCAGAAAGGGGTTTAAGAGATTTTTTTTTGTAATTTATAACTCTCGCTTTTAATTAATATATGATAAACAATAGTAGTGTAAACTTATTATTTTATTTACAAACTTGATTTTATTATCACAAATAAATATTTAAAAATTCAAAATGTATACACTTTTTAAAATATTTTCAATCATTTAAAGGATCTAAGAGGATGACAAAAAAATATAAAATAAATTCAAACATTTTTAACTTAATCATAACTCAACGTTTTAAATTAACCACACTATCATCAATATTATCAATCTAATTAAATAATATCAATCAATCATTCTTATACACCACATCAACTTTAATTCACTATTTATCAACTCACATAATTAATTAAACATCATCTCTCCTACTTTTACATCAAATCAACTTTAATAATTTATTTTAAATATTATTTTAATATACTCACTAGCAACTAATAATATCGCATTTTTTAAAATTAACTAAATCAAGCCAAAAAGTTCAAACAAAACAAAAAATTCAAATAATCAAGTATCCCAACTATTATAATTTTGATATTAATAATACCAATATTTTGGTTACAAAAATATATGCATATATAAATCATCTCGCCACTCGCACTTGCCTTTGCCCGCGGTGTGTGGGTTGAGTACCATACCATCTCCTCACACATTCCGGCGTTCTCTGTCACCTTTTTCCATTCTTCACTTCAAATAGGATCGAAGCTTTCGAGCTAGGATTTCATCTGGGCTTCGAATGTAGAGGGAGTTTGCTATGGCGGAATTACTATCACCGACCCCCGGAAAACCCCCAATCGAGAATTCGGGTCCCGGGGTTTTGATCGCCGATAATGCGTCGCGTGATTCGATAGCTAACACCACCCCGGCCGTCGAGATCCAGCACGACGAGTCCTCCCTGAATGCGCCTGGCGGAGGAAGTGTTCCACCGGTGGAGTCGACGGCGGATGTGGCGAGGGAAATCGTCGGCGGCTCTGATGAGCTGGAATTTCTGAACGCCCTAGAGAGGGATTTATGCCATCTGACGATTCAGAAGGCTGAAATCGAGGCGGAGAGTGTGAGGCTGGAAGAAGTTGGTGTGGAGGGAGCGAAGGATGTCGTGGGAACAGTGGAAATAGGCGAGTTTCAAGAAGAAGAGGATGGTAAAAATGCAGGAAATGTTGGAGATGAGAATAGGTGTGGGTGGGGTTATGCCGAGATTGAAGAAAGGACGAAGCCAGATAATTTTCTTGAAGAAAAGGGTAGAGATTATTCAGTTAGTGTTGAAGATGAAAATTGGGATAGATGGGGTTTTGGGGAGAAGGTGGAAATGCTGCAAGTTGAAAATTTTCATGAAGAAAATGGTGGAAGAAATGCAGCGAATGTCGAAGATGAAAATGGGGTTCGGTTGGGTTATGTGGAGAATGAGGGTGTATTGGTACTAGATAATCTTCATGGAGGAAAAGGTGAAACTAATGGGAAGAGGTTCGAAAATGATTATGTGGATGGGTGGGGTTACATGGAGAATGAGGGAGCATGGAAACCTGATAATCTTCACGAAGAAAAAGGTCGAGCAAATGTCGTGAGTGTTGAAGATCAAAATGAAGACAGGTGGGGCTTTATGGAGAATGAGGAAACAAGGGAACTTGATAATCTTCAAGGAAAAATGGGTGTTGAGGATCAAAATGAGAATAGATGGTTTGTGGAGAATGTGGGATGTAGTCAGGACAAAAAAATGAATGGAGGAAGTAGGTCTGGGGATGCTGTGACAAAGTTCGGAAGATATAATCAAAATAATAACAATAGGAAGATTAACTATCCTATGAGGCCTGATGCAGAGGATTGTTCATATTATATGAAATCTGGTTCTTGCAAATTTGGGTCGAGTTGCAAGTTTAACCACCCTCCTAGGAGAAATACCCAGGTTGTTGTATGCATAGGTGGATTCTGCATGCTTTATAGAACTACTTGACCTCTATTTCTCGTTAAAATCTACTGGATTTGATTTTTTCAGGTTGTTAAGGAGAGAGCGAAGTATGGTGGGGATAACACAGAAAGAGGAGGACAAACTGAATGCAAGGTCATTATCCGCTTATATATTAGATCATTGATAGACTAGATCTTTTATATGTGATCCTGTTACCTCAGTGTAGATGTGCACTCTCCAAATTCTTTTGCAGTGCATCTCTGAGCAAGTTATACCATGATAATTATAATATTTTCTCTTTTGTATCCGAAGCACAACTCTTATGAATGGTGGAATGTCATGCGATATTAAGGGGCACTCCTCTGTTCCTGCACGGTAGTGTTGTGTATTGAACTTTTGTTGCGTATCATGATCTATTGTCTGTTTACTGCATTTTCTATAGCATTAAAATACATCAGTTTTTCATATTCTGCGTTGTTTTATCTTTTTGTTCATGAACCAACTATGCTTATCTGATGCAATAATCAACTTGTATTCACTGCAGTATTACCTGGCATCAGGTGGATGCAGATATGGGGAGAACTGTAGATTCTCTCATAATTCAGACAACAGCTCCAAGTCTCAAATTCTCGAGTTCAACTTTTTAGGATTGCCAATTCGATCAGTATACCCTCTATTTGGAGTTTAAAGTTCTTCTTGTGGATATGTGCTTACTATGATTTTAGCTTTGTTTCATGCAGTTTGAGATTTTTCTTTTCAAATTAAACAGATAATGATGTGATGAATCAAAATGCCTTAATATTGTTGTTGCAAACGTATAAAGATAACTGCAACTCTTTAGTCTATAAGCATTGAGTTTCATGAAATCAAGGACATAAGAAGCTAATTTCCAATGCAAAATTGATCATGCTTTGATAATCCATAATATCATTTGAAAGATTTTTATACGAACTCCGAAGTAAAGATTTGAATAATTCCTGCAATTCAAAATTTATTTTGCTACAGAACTATCTTTCACAGTATGTCCTAGTTACAAATGGTTGCCTTCTTCAGGGAGAAAAGGAGTGTCCCTTCTACATGCGAACTGGGACATGCAAATATGCGTCAAACTGCAGGTTTCATCATCCTGAACCTACCACAGTGGGTGGAGCTGATTCATCCTCTGGATATGACAATGGGGGCTCAATTCCTTCACAACTGCTTTCTTCTTCGTCTGTGCAATCTTGGTCTTCACCAATGGCAGTTAATGAGGCTTCATCTTTCAGACCTTCGGTTTTCTCTGGCGGCCAGGGTGCCCCATCTTCAGATCCAGAGTGGAGTGGTTACCAGGTAATTTTTTTCCTTAAGGACTTTTTTCTCGTGATATTATCCTTGTAATT